CCAATGACCCTTCCCATTATTGGCGCTTGGAACATGCGTGGGTTTAATAGCCCGGACAAGGTTGTGTGTTGCAGGAAATTTTGTGATAAACATAGGTTGGATATTATGTTTATCCTGGAAGCAAAAGTTTCTCTGGCTTCGGTTTCTGACCCTTGGTTTATTTCCTCTCACTCTTTTTTTAACTCAGAGGCCTCTTACAACAATTTCGATTGTTCTAGCCCTGGAAGAATCTGGATCAAATGGAATTCCCTCAAAGTTGACTTTAAACCCTTCTTCTCTTCTTGCAAATTGATACATGTCATGCTCTTCTCGGGTTCTACCTATTCTTGTTATATTTTTGTGGTCCATGCCTCTAATTCCGCGGATGATAGGAAAGTCCTTTGGGACAAAATTATGGATTTGGATTCTAGCATCACCACTCCCTGAATAATCTCGGGAGATTTTAATTGTTGCAGATTTCCTAACAAAAAAGCTAGTGGTTCTGCTCTTTCCTATGGCAAGCTAGCTGATTTTAACAACATAATTTTTGGTGCTGGTGTGCATGAACTATCTTCGGTAGGGCATTATTATACCTGGTTTAATCACAGGTTAGATAACTCGATTCATATTCGTTTGGATAGGATCATGGTTAATGACGCATGATTAATTAACTATCCTAATTCCTTCTACAATGTTGGGGACCCTCTTATTTCTGACCACTCCCCTATTGTGGTGTTGTCCCAAACTTCTTCCCATTACAAGCATAGATATCTCTACAAAAATTATTGGGAAAAGCTGCCTGAATTTTGGGATTGCCTTTTCAATGCTTTTTCCTCTCACACTCATAAAAGCCCCATTTTCTCATTTTACCACAAGATCAAGACTCTAAAGCAATACATTAAGTCCAATTCCTGGGCATCCTCCAACCATCTGAAACTCCTCATTGAGAAGCTTACCTCTACCCAAAATTACTACCTCACCCATTTGCAAAGCAACGCCACTGATGCTGAACTCAATACCAATCTTAAAGATGTTAATCTCAAGCTTGTGAATTTTAACAAAGCTTGGTCGAACTGGATTGCTCAGAGAGCTAAAGCCAATTGGCTCTCTTGCAAGGAAGATGATTTAAAATTTCTCTACTCTAGAATTAACACCAGGCATAATATCAACCAAATAAAATTTATTTCCACTGATGCTGGTGTTTTGACTGATCCTAAAGATATTTGTGATGCTTCTATTCAACACTTTTGTAGGTTGTTCAACACCTGCACCTTTACTCCCAACATTTTTAGGCATATCACCACTGGTAACAATATTCCTAATAACCTTATTTCTGCCTTGACTGCTCCTGTTTCTATTGAAGAAATAAAAAATGTTGTTTTCTGTTCCCCTTCCTCCTCTGTTCCTGGTCTGGATGGGTTTACATTTGGTTTTTACAAATCGTTCTGGAATATCATAGGTAAACAACTGTGATGCTGTGCTTTATTTCTTTTCCTCAGCCTCTATGCCTAAGCAAGCAAAAGCCACTGCTATCGCTCTAATTCCTAAAAATCCTCATGCTGCTTCCATAATTGGTTATAGACCTATCTCTCTATGTAACACCTTCTATAAAATTGTGGCTAAGATCATTGCTAATAAGATGAAAGAGATTATGCCTTTCATTATGCACCCTTGCCAAGACGGTTTCATTAAAAATAGATCCATCTCGGACAATATCATCTTAGCCGCTGAGCTTCTTGGAGATTTCAACCATAAGCACAAGAACAAATTCTTTTGTGCTAAGTTTGATATTCACAAAGCCTTTGACTTGGTTTCTAGAGAATTCATTCTTAATCGGCTGTTACAAAAGGATTTTCCTGATACCTTCATCACTTGGGTCAAAGGTTGTATTACTAATGTCCATTTTTCCATCTCCATTAATGGGGCCTTGGAAGGTTTTTTCAATTCAACATCCAGACTTAGACAAGGCTGCCCACTCTCCCCTTATCTTTTTAGCATTGCAATGGATGGCCTTTCTTCTCTTTTTGAGGAAGCACCTACAGCTAATCACTTTTAAGGGCTTGATCTCAGGAATTTTTTAGTCTCTCACCTTCTCTGCGCAGACGATGTTCTATTTTTTGGGAATGCTACCACGGCTAATGCTCATGCTCTTAAAAATTTGTTACATCTTTTTGGGGATGCCTCCAGCCTACGAGTTAATTATGGTAAAAGCACTATTATTTTCTCTAAGAATACTTCTATGGATTTGGATATTGCCAACATCCTGAATATTCCAATATCCCAGACTTCGGTTAAGTTCCTTGGGCTTCCAATTTACACTAGGAAGTCGAATTTCTAATTTCCAACCTTTGCTGGAGAAATTGTATCGGCTTTAGATGGTTGGAAGGCTAAGACCCTTTCTTTTGCTAGGAGAATTCAATTCTTGAATTTCTCTATCTCCAATACTCTTGCGTATTGGATTAAAGGAGTAATTATCCCAAAAGCTTGTTGTAAGACTATCAACAAGATATGCTCTAGATTTCTTTATTATGGTGATATTGCTAAAAGGAAACTTCACATGGTTGCATGGAAAGATACTTGTAGGCCAAAGGAATTTGGTGGGTTGGGATCCCAGCTATTGCTAGTCTTTATTATGATTTTAGTGGGTTGTTAATCTGGAGATTTTTTTAACACTGATAGCCCCTTATTCAGCTGGTGGAGAGCAAAGTACACATCATTTTGGTACCCCAATACCCGTGCTTCGCTGTATTGGAAATTCCTTTGTGATGTTGCTACCCAAATATGGCCTTGCTTTAACTTCAAAGTTTTACAAAATTCTTCCCTATCTCTTTTATGGGATCCATGGTGCAATAATAAATCTCTTATTGATATGAGGTCTGAGCTCTCTTCCGAGCTCTTAAATCAGGATTTAATGGTTTCTCTGGGGCAATGCTTAACCTCTAATGGTAGATGGTTTCTCCCTACTAATATCCCTTAGTCTATTTCCATAGAAATTATTTCTATTCCTATTTATGCGGATGGCTGGGTTTGTAACTAGCTCCAACTATCTGAGAAACCGGATTTTAAGAAGTTTACCAGCCACTACTATGCCAACTGCGATAGAGCTAATTTGGATTTTATTTGGCATAAACATTATGCTCTTCGTTTCTCTGCTTTTGCTTGGTTGGCTTTTAGGAACGGTCTAAAAACTGCAGATGCTTTAAACATTAAAGGGATCTCTGTCCATCCCAATTGCACTTTCTGTTCTGACTCTATGGAAACACAACCGCACCTGTATTTTCAATGTGACTTCACATTTGGCATTGTGAAAAAAATATTTCCACACTTTGCAAATCTGCTTCTCCATTCCAACCTCTATCAAATGTTCTCCTATATCAACGACTTGGACCTAAACAAGCAGATCAAACATTTGCACTTGCTTCTCTGCTGTGCTGCTATTTACTTTATTTGGAGGGCTCGGAATTATAGAATTTTTGGCAACAATTGTGAAAGTTCATCTACGATCATTTGGAAAATCAAAAAGGCTGCTCTTCTCAAAACTACGAAATGGAAGAACTCATATCTTTTCATAAATCTTCTTATCTGATGAGTGGGATAGCTATTTGTGGCAGCATAATTATGGCTGTTTCTTTCTACTTGTTTTGGTTTCGGCTGCTTTCTCTTCAGAACCTGTCTCTTAGGCATTCAAAATTCTATGACTCCTCACTGTGGTTTGCTGAAAGGTTTTTTGGATGGAAAATGATGAGTGCTGGTTCCATCCAGCCTCTCCTTGGACGGTCATACTTGGTAACCAGGAGATTTTGATGCTTCTTCGCTTGCTGGAGGTCTCGATTTTGTAGAAGCATTCTGAGTCCTCAACGCTCTTGGAGTTGCTTTTACTTTCCTTTTTTATCTTATTGTTTGCTCAGGTTCTCTCTACTTGCAACTACCTCTTTATTTTTGGTTGGTTGCAGGTCTCTTTTGCTTTATACATGTATTTTGGTTCTTTCTTTCATAGTTTATAAAATGAGCTAACACTCCAAATTCCCCCCCCCCCCCCAAAAAAAAAAAAAAAAAAAAAAAAAATCTAATTTTCATTATTCTTTTTCAGGAAAATAAATTTATACATTCCAAAAAGGTGCATCACATGCAATAATGACTAAGAAGCCTACTAGCTCCTATGCGACATTGTATAGTTAGGATTGTAAACTTTATGGGATTTATATGGTTTAACCTAAAATAGGGATAAAGTATTTTAAATATAAGAATTTTGAACATTGTTTGATTTGAGTAAATAAATGATTAATAAAATTCTGAATTATTTTTAATTCATCATTTATAAAAATTTAGTGTATTTGAAAATTGTTAGATTGGATTGGGTTCCAACAACAATGTAATTTATTTATCATTGCTACTTCTGCTTAACATCTTGGTCATTCCCAGTGCCGCAGTAACCGCCCGCTGCTGGTCGCAACCACTGGTGGTAGGTTGCTTCCCACCGTTGCCCCATCACTAGCACATTTGACAGCTTCCGCCACTAGCACATTTCTCAGCAACCGCCACTGTAATTGACTGCTGCCACCATTGCTAACTATTGCACCACCAACAACTCTCTCTCGGCCACCACTCACAACCATTATTGAACTTTGAACTATTTTCATTTTATTGCACGGAAAATAAATTCTTTCATTGCTATTAAAATTTTGTCTTCAACCCCTATATATTAATATTTCAAAAAATGATAAACCTTATCCCATTTATCATTCTGTTTAAGATAAAAAAACATCCATATTGTTTTCAAATATCACAACTATTCTCTAAATTTCTTCAAAACAATAATTTATTTTCAGACTTAAAAGTAAATCAAAATAAAATTATTGTCTAAAATATTCTTTTTAAATAAACAAATGAGCCCTTAGGAAAAAAACTAAAGCTTTATGAATATTATTACGATTAAAAAAACATTATGAGCTCAGATTTGAAGGGCTCAGGCGTAGTCATAAGCTGCCAATATCATATCCAGCCGTTAAATCTCCGCCCTTCCTCCCTTATCACACCCCATATCTCACTTCTCTTCTATCCCCCGCAGCTCTATCTCTCCTCCTCCTCCACCGCTCCATTCTCCTGCCTTTCCATTCCTCATTTTCTCTCTTCTCCTCTCTTTCTCTCTGCTCTGCAACCTGCTTATCTCAATCTCCAGGGTAAGTCCTCTCCCTTTCTCTCTCTCTACACCTTCGCCTCTCCCAAAAACCCAATTTTGAAACCCAAATTAAACCGCCCAACTGTAATTTTTTCGATTGGTTTGTCTCTCCCTTAGCTTGCCTTTGTGGGCTCTGCTTGCTCTGCTTCAGTTTTCTTCCAGTAGCAATAATTTAACCCACCGTCCCTCTTTTGAATAATAGGTTAAGAACTAATGGCTGGTGCTCTTACCTTATCCTTTCAGCCTTATTAATCCCACCGAGCTTCTTCTTTTTCTTCTTAACTCTTTCTTCCTACTGATAGATACGCTAAGCAGGCTGAGACGCTTCGACGGAATCAATGGCGCCCAAGGGCGGTCGTGGCAAATCGAAGGCCGAGAAGAAGAAGAAAGAAGAGAAAGGTAACATTTTTATCAGAGCTTCGTCTTAATTGCGAGATGGTAATGCAATAAGCAATAACTCTGCTTGTGTTTGGTTTTGCTTTGTCATTAGTTCTTCCTCTAGCTTTGGACATCACAGTTAAGCTCCCTGACGAGTCTCAGGTTATTCTCAAGGTACTGATTAAGAGATAAGCCCTCTGTTTTTAGCCTTTCTTTTGTTTTGAATCCTCTTTGAAGTGCAATTTAGGCTTTGTTTAGAACAGCTCTTTTATTGTCTAAAATAACTTTTTAGCATAAAATTTTCTTTTGTGCTAAAAATTATTTTAGAAACTAAAAAAAAAGCTATCGCAAATAAAATCTTAAATCTTAAAGAGAAAGAGTAGTCCACAACTCTCAATTAGACAAATAGTTTAAAAAATAATGAATCTCTAAGATTTTATTCTTTAGATTTTATTTGGGACAGTTTATCAGTATTTCTTTTGTCAGTTTTAAAATTTTTTTATACTAAAAAATAGTTTAATAAAATAATAAAAAAACTGTTTCAAATAAAATTTTAATTTGATGAACTTAATTTTAAAATTTTATGAATAAAAAAGTATTTTTAAATATATTTCTGAATAAGATAATTCCATACACTTTAGAGAAAATCTTACTTTATTATATAAGATAATTATTAAAATAATTATTTAATAATTTAATTATAATAATGTATAATAGGTAGAGTAAAAATATGGGAATTAAAATTACTCAAATTTTAGAGGAGTTATTGGAATATTTTAATAGAATTAAAGAATATAGTTAAATAATTATGGAATTTATAAAACAAACATAAAATATGTGCTCGAGTTTCATGTGGAGCGGTGATTCCACAAGGCAAGGGTGGAGCCAAAGCCCGGCGGGCATGTTTTCCCCGCGAGGTGGATGGAGTTCGCTCACCGCCTCACCGATACGGTGACTTTAAGCTTCGCTTCGCCTAACACGGCGCAATCGTGTTATTTTGAGAAGGGTTACCCGACTTACTCGTCTTCTTGATTCGTGCAGGGTATTTCGACGGACAGGATTGTGGACGTACGGCGTCTTCTATGCGTGAACACCGTCACCTGCTGCCTCACGAGCTACTCTGTATCGCATGAGGTACGTGGCATGTGGCTGGTCCCTTTTTTTTTTTCTTTCCTCCTACAGAGTTGCACCGCGACAGTTGTGGTAGACGGTCTAGCCTCTATTACTTGTATAAATCATTTGTTCTACCTATATATATAATTAAGATTGACATTTTGGTTAACGTCTTCGACTTCTTTTAAAATAGCTTTCTTAGTTCTTACTACTTTTAAATATATTTTTTTAATATAAATTTTTTAAACTAGAAATTTTTTATACCGAAAAATTACTTTAATAAGAAAGTCATCCCAAACGAAGTCTAGGATGGCTTTATTTCTGCTTCTTAAAACAATTTTTTTAATATTTTAATTAGAAAGATGCTTTAAGAAGCAGCCAAACAAAGCTTTTAATTTTTTAATTGAAAGCTGCTTTAAGAAGCAGAAAGAAAATGGTTTGAAATGTTTGGGATAGCTTTCATATTGCTTTTTAAAACGACTTTCTAATTTTTGTACTAGAAAGTCATTTTAGAAAGCAAGAATAAAGCCGTCTCAAATGAAGCCTTAGGCTTCGTTTGGGACGACTTTTTTTCTGCTTCTTAAAATAGCTTTTTAGTACAAAATTAAAAAAATTTGTACTAAAAAGCTGCTTTAAGAAGCAAAAAGAAAGCCATCCCAAGCGAACCCTTAGTTTTAACATTTATTTGGGATAACTTTCTTCCCACTTCATAAAATTTCAATAGAAAGCAAATTGTTATTGTAATTTAAAAAAAAAAATAATAAACAATCTAAATAGAAATTTGTAATTTTACATTAAAAAATAAAACATTAAGAAAACTGTCCCAATGAAGTCTTAATTTGAATTTATTTGAAATGATAATAGCTTTTTATAAAGATAACTGCAAAATTAAAATTTTAGTATAAAATTTTAATACTATGAGAAAATAATAGTCAAATAGATTTATAATTATAGTGTGAAAACAAAATAATAAGAAAGTGATTTACATGACCTTTAATTTTGTTATTACAAATTTAAAGTAATAATAATAATAAATAATAGTTAAATAGAAATTGTAATTTCAGTTTGAAAAATAAAACAATAAGAAAATTGTTTCAGATGAAGTCTTAGTTGGGATATGTTATGGATGATAATAATTTTTTATAAAGATGATTATAAAATTAAAATTTTATTATATTTTTTTTAAATGCTGTGAGTAAAATAATAGCCAAATATATAATTATAGTGTGAAAATAAAATAATAGGAAAGTGATGAAATTGACCTTTAATTTTCGATTTTTTGTCCAATATAGAAAATGTGAGCTGAACTTTGAAATATGGCCATGGCAGCTAGAAGAAATAGGGAATTTCAAAAGAAAATATTGGCTCGATATTGTTTAATGATGAGAGCGTCCATTTCAGGTTCGAGGGCCGAGATTGAAGGATACGGTTGACGTGGCCGGGTTGAAGCCCTGCGTCCTCACACTCGTCGAAGGTAGTAATTAATTTATGTATTTAACCCCCTCGTATTTTTTAATTTATGACAATGCTTTTTGTATATTTGCGTACTGTACGAAAGTATGTGTTTCGTGTAAATTTCTCAAAGAAGTGGGTCCGGGGAATAAAAGGTACCCGGGGCCCTCGAGGAAAAGCTAACTTTCTCTCTCTCGGTTTCTTGTTTCTCTTTGGTATCGGTCGGACTAAAGGGGAAAGTGACGCTTTGTTAAATGTGGAACAGAGGACTACGACGAGGACGGGGCCATCGCGCACGTGAGGCGTCTGCTGGACGTTGTTGCGTGCGTCTCCTACTTCGGTGCCGCATCTTCGCAGAAGGATGGCGCCGGCGCGGCGCCCAAAGATGGGAAGAAGGAAAGCGCCGGTGGCGGCGACGGAGGAGGTGGTGAAACCGCCGGGAGTAAGCAGAATCCTCCACGGAAGGACGCGACGGCTGAGGTGGAGGCGGAGATTAGCGGAGCGTGCCCGAGGCTCGGTGCATTCTACGAGTTCTTCTCCCTCGCGCATCTCGCACCTCCTCTCCAATGTAAGCGTGGCTTTTCATTTTTCTGCTCTCCTGATTTCATCTTCTAAACTGCAAGAGTGGTTGTTTAGCTCTTGATTGTTTTATTTCTCTCGTAGTTGTAAGGAGGACGACGAGAATACGGCAGGATGATCAGCAGCCTGAGAAGGATCACCTGTTTTTCCTCGAAGTGAGATTTTGTTTTTATAAGCTTTGTTTTCCTTTGATTTGGGTTTCAGTTTGAATTAAGTTCTTCAAAATGTGATGGATTGAAGGTAAAGCTTTGCAATGGTAAGCTGGTTTTGGTGGAAGCATGTGCGAGGGGTTTCTACAGCGTTGGGAAACTGCGAATTCTTTGCCATGAACTTGTTGATCTTCTAAGACAGCTTAGTAGGCCTTTCGACAAGGTGACTCTATTGTTCCCTGTAATATTTATCCCTATTGCTTTCATCAGATAACCATGGCGTTGATATCTATTAAACTATGGGTGCTTGGAATTCACTTATATGTCATGCCTTTTTAATATATTTGAACGTGACTACGATTACTTGCAGTATTTAAATTTGCTTTATTTCTTGATGCTTGCAGGCTTATGAAGATCTCATGAACGCATTCTTGGAGAGAAATAAGGTTAGATTTTTTTTTTTTGTAGTTGTATCATTGCTCATTGAATTGTAGGAATTCTTTTATTATTATTATTTTTTTCTTGCATTTTGGAACGAAATACTGGAAGCTTCTTGTATGATGGAATTGCATGAAAATTTCCAACAAAACCTTTATTGCTTATTTCAGTACTTAGAAACACAAGTCAGGATCCATATCAATTTCATTTATGAATCCTGAACGTTAGGATTATTAAGATAACCTTTCTTGGGTATCTCATTAGTAATTATCTTTCACTTCAAGCATGGCTGTAGAGGATGTTGCATTTGTTTATCATTGTTATGCGTCAAAAGTCATGCTCATGCTGGTGGAGTAAGGATCAATCTCAGTCTCTTTAGCCCTTTTTGATATCTCACATACAAGAGAATAGGGTGGGACGTATGATTTTTTTTTTTAAGATAAAAAATTTTGGGTTGATAAAAATCAATGGGCCAATCTCAGTTGATCGGCATCGATTATTTGTAGAACATTAGTACGTATGTGATCTACCTCGAAGTAATGGGAGGGACTTCAGATAAGGCAATAATTAAAGGTGATACGAAGGGCACTAAGGTAGGTCCTCTTGCATGCCAATTATAATATTATAAATGTTTGCAACCGCAAGGGCTACATCATAACTAGAGTTTTATGGCATAAAATTGACTATGATGTAAGTCTGACTAGGTTTTATGGCATACTTCTCGTTGGAGATGGTTATTGTGCAGGCCATAAGGTGAGACTATTGTGATGCAAGTTTTGAGGAAGAAAGTTAAGAGCATATGAGGTTATAGAGCAAGTCATGATGTGGCTATAATTAAGACACAAGCAAGATTACAACATAAGTCTTGAGAGAGAGAGAGTAGCAGAACAAGCTCCTAAGTCTTAATTGAACCAAATTGTCATGAAAAAAGGCTAAAGTCTCCTAAGTCTAAATTTGAGTTTGGATTTACCATATGAAAGTTTCATATTTCTAATGAGATGACATAAGAATTAGTTGATATAATGATTGGAATAAGAATTAAACATTGCTTGTTTGCTATAACTAAATAGAACGGGGTGAAATATAGGGATATCAGAAAACATTATTAATTAATTTATTTTGTAGAGTCAACTATAAGAATGGGTAGAGACAATAAAAAATACAAAGTTCAAAGATAAAATTATTGATGGATGTGCTATTAATGAAAGGGTTATTGGTTTTAAGTTATTTATTGATGCTGGGTTTTTTAATGTTGTTGTTGCATATGCTCTCCAAATTGGATTAGTGCATTGTTTAAAAAATCAATTTTGAGAAGAGATGGATAAACTATGACAACCTAGCCTCAGGGAGGATTATTATTAGAGGTAACTTTCTATTAGGATAGGCTATTCATGGATATGAAATAAGAGATAAAAATGTGATGGAATAAGTTATACATTATTCATGTTAGCATATTATATTATATTGACAAGCATATAATTTTAGAACTAAATGAGTACTTAATTACTTTTAAAAGTGCAGGAACCAAATAGAACATAGTTCTCTTTTTAATTAGGTGTTGTTTGTTGATGTTTTTAAAATACATGTATTTTATAATTTAAGAAAGTAGCTAAAACCCAGAAATAAAGCAGTATTAGCTAAGATAGGAAGAGAGCAATTTACGAATGATTGTGTTCTATACACAAGGAAGTTCTCATGTGCCAGTTAGCTTTTTAGTGTTTCCAAGGTTGGGTTCTACCAAAATGTCCACAAAAAAATACAATATATCGTCAATAATGAGAACGCTTCAGTTATAACCACATCATATGCTGTGGTTTTGGTTCATGAAAGATTGTCGTGCTGTTTTCATTATGATTTAGATTTCTTCAGTTAGCCTAGCCCTCTTCCTTCTTAACTTATAAATTGTTTCTTCATGATGCAGTTTGGTAATCTTCCTTATGGATATCGTGCTAATACATGGCTCGTTCCACCATTTTCTGCACAATCACCCACAACATTTCCTCCCCTCCCCACAGAGGATGAAACATGGGGAGGTAATGGTGGCGGATGGGCTAGAGATGGCAAAAGTGATTTAATTCCTTGGGCTAGTAAGTTTCGGTTTATTACAGCTATGCCTTGCAAAACTACAGAGCAAAGACAGATCAGGGATAGGAATGCTTTCCTGCTTCATAGTGTGTTTGTAGATGTTGCCATCTTTAGAGCAATTGCAGCAATCAAGCATGTTATTGAAGTGAACCGTGTGATACCATCACTTGAGGAAAAAGAAATTCTACACCTTGAGATAGTTGGAGATTTTAGCGTCACTGTTTTCAAGGATGCTTCAGATGCAAGCCAAAAGGTAGATACAAAGATTGATGGGACCAGAACAACAGGAATGGACTGTAAACATCTGGCAGAGAGAAACTTATTAAAAGGAATCACTGCAGATGAAAATACAGCAGCCCATGTAAGGACAATAATTAGCTATGTTCTAGTTTATTATTTAATTCTGAAGCTTGAAAGCCATAATGGTTATTGCTACAATTCATTTTTTCAAAGAACAATCTGTGATTTTGCAGGATGTTTGCACTTTAGGTGTTGTCAACATAAGATACTGTGGTTATGTTGCAGTTGTTAAAGTTAACTACGAAGAAAGATTGGAAGCAGATCGCCCATTAGAAACTCTTGATATAGAGGACCAGCCTGAAGGATCAAATGCTTTGAACATTAACAGGTTACTTTGATTGTTAAGTAGCCATTTAACTTTATTCTTAGTCATTTCAGTTGAGTTCAATGCTTCTAATGTCTTTGATGTTCTCTAAAGTTTGAGGATGCTTCTTCACAAAGGCCCTGCATCTGAATACAAGCGAACATCAAATCCTTCAAAGACTTCCAGACCTGAAGAACAATCTGCTGCTCAAGATTTCATAGAGAAAGTGCTCATTCAGAGTCTAGCAAAGCTTGAAGAAGAAGAAATTGATAAAAGTATCTTCTTTAGATGGGAACTTGGGGCCTGTTGGGTACAGCATTTGCAGGACCAAAAAAATGCTGAGAAAGATAAGAAACAAGCTGGTGATAAGGACAGGAAACATGCTGTTGAAAAAGGAAGAAATGAAACCAAGGTTGAAGGCCTCGGAAAACCTCTTAAGATTCTTAGGAATTCCAAGAAGAAACAAGATGTGAATGAGGAAAACGGTAAAGCCATTGATAGAAAATCTTCAGACATAGAAGTTGCGGGTGAGGTCCAAAATTTCAAGAGCATTGATACTCTAAAAGAGTCAAAATCAACTGAGAGTCAATGCACACTCAAAGACCTGTTACCTGATTCAGCATTTATGAGATTGAAAGATTCTGAAACAGGACTTCATCTTAAGGTACTCATTTAGCATGGTACTTCTCCTTTCTCTATATCATTGTTTGTATAGATGAAAATGTATCTTACAGGTATAATGTGTCACTTGATGTTTCTACCATATTACATTTCAATACTTAGCTGCATTAAAAAGACTTTTTATTAATTTTAGCTTAGATGCTAATCAACAGCTATTTTAGAGTGAGGGAGGGAGTATTTGTTGTTGCTTTTACAGTGATTTCACTCTACAGGAAAAACTATGATTTTTAACGGCCAATTCTATAGGATAGGGGTCCACTATGTGATCACATTTGATACTGTATCAACATTTTTTTCTCTCATTATTTTCTTTTTAATGATGTATATATTTATATGGTGATTAAACTTATAAGATGTTCCTCTTAAGTTTAGCTTAATAAAATTGTTTCATAGCATGTTGGTAGTAATTGCATATATATAGACATATTTATAAATATACATAGGCTCCAGCTTACAAAAATAGAGGTAATTTATGCTCTGTTAAACTTTCGCAAGGGAGAGCTAGGTAGAAAGCGGAACTTATGAAATCTCTTAATAAATAGGATAGGAATCAAGCATTTGGATCTACAAAAATAATGCCAAAAGAACTTGTTGATGAATCATTTTTTTAAAATCTAAATATTAAATATATTCCAAATATGCACAAAATGTGCTTCTCTATTTGAGTGTCATAAATTATACTGTACAAATAAATATTACATTGTAGCATCTAGGCTATTTACTATTAATTTTTTAGCATAGTTGATTCAAAGGTTTTAGTTTTATAAATGATGAATCAATAAATCATATTCAGCCACAATAAGGACTAGTGGACTACTCATTAATATACACATCTAAAAGCATGATGTTAAAATTTTAAAACTATCACAATTATTTAGTAATGTATCAAGCATTTGAAGATAGTTGCCAAGTTATACATATATGAGATAAATAATTTATGAATTTATATTGCAGAAACATTCAATTCAAAAGAAACTTTATGAGTTTGTATCTTCTAACACGAAGCCAATTTTAGTAGCTTTTATCTAAAAATTCGGTTCAGGTCCAATTTTTGTAAAGGGTGTTCTATACGCTCAATTATTATGTTAAAATTTTTATTTATCATATAAAGTGATCAATTTAATTATTATTATTTTTTTATGATATTATTTGTCAACATCTATAATGTTGATGTTATATTCAATATATGATGACTCTATGAGTTCTCAGTTTGCATTTATTCTTCATCCTTGTGTGGTTGTACATGAGGTATTAATTTGCTCGATTTTTATAATAAAAATATTTCTCAATCCACTCTTTTAGTTTTATCATACTTAATTATTTGTGATAGTTTGTCACCAACATTCATATGATCTTTGTAAGTTTTAATCATAGTATATATATATTTTCTTGTATGGTACTATTGAAGTACTTTTCCATTCAACTAACAAGTGATAGCTTTGGAAGTTACATCTTTATTTATTTCATCATTTTTTTAATTTGATATATTGAAGATATTCAAAACTATTGAAGTAGATATCACTTGATCTTTTAATATACCGATTGACCGTTATGAGTTTCACTCCTAAAATTGCATATCATATACATGTCTTGATCTATGACTTTTGTCTATTATTCTTCCATTATTTATAACTTGTCGTTGCCAGGTTCCAAGTCCTGGATGAGAAAAGTGGATGGTTGCATTAGATGGTAGATAATCAGTGTAAAATTTGTCGAATAATCATGACATGAATTCTTTACCCTATAAATTTTATGGTGCAAAATGTTGGTGATTAAAAGAGAAGCATAATATTAAGTTAACTATTGCAGAGATGAGGATGCTCAGGTGGATGAGTGGCTTTACTCTTAGAGACAGGATACGAAATGAGCATATACATGAAAAGGTTGGAGTAGCTCCAGCGGAAGTTAAGATTAGAGAGTACTGCCTTAGATCAATGTTTAAAATTGCGTATTCGGGTATTGAGGCGTTTTTCATTCGTGAGGCGAGGCGTAAGCCTCAAGGCATTTTGAGGCGTAAGCCTCAAAATCAAAAGATTGCGTAAACATAAAATGATAAATTTGTTATATATTAATGAGTGAATAATATAAAACATAAAAAAGCATAAGATATGAAGTGAAATCAAAATATCTCAATAATAAGACAACATGAAATATAGTTCAACTCAAAATTCTATCTTTCCGAAATCCCAATATTCTTTTCATTAACATATAATTCCGATTTCCAAAAATAAATAGCAATGACATATCACATAAGAACTCATAAGTCATTAGCACTTTCATCACTAAGGGGTTTTTCATTTGAATCATCATTATGGTGAACTGCTCTCTCCCCTTCCTCCTCTCCTATAGAGTCCAATGTCGAACATTTACTTCAAGATTTATGTAAGTTTTAATATATATAGCGTGAGGCGTAAGCCTCATGCCAGTGAGGCGAGGCAGGCCTCAAGGCGGGCCTCAACCAAGTTGAGGCGCAAGCCTCATAAAAAAAACTCGAGGTGTAAGCATCGAGGCGTTTTTTACTAGAATTGCGCAAAGGCAGGCCTCAAGCAAGCCTCACATTGCGCAATTTTAAACCATG